CTCTCTCTCTCTCTCTCTCTCTCTCTCTCTCTCAAAATAAAATAAGCTGGTAGCGTTGACTCACACCATTTATCTATCTATCTATCTATCTATCTTTCTTTCTATCTATCTATCTATCTATCTATCTATCTATCTATCTATCTATCTATCTATCTATCTATCATCTATCTATTTTCTGAGACAGGGTTTCTCTGAAGCCCTGGTTGTCCTGGAACTCACGCTCTAGACCAGGCGGGCCTCCTGAGTGCTGAGATTAAAGACGTGCTTTAATTTTTTATTAAAGTGCATTTTTTTTTTAAAATGGAACGCTTCACGAATTTGTGTGTCATCCTTGCGCAGGATGTACTGTTCCAATTTTAGTATATGTGCTGCCGAAGCCAGCACTAAAGCGCACCTTTACTTGACACGCAGGTACTGTGCATCTCTAAGCATGGCAAGCCCCCGGGAGTCAGTGTCATGGGGTGTCCTGAAGCCACCACGTGCAAACATTCCCTGCTGGGCTTCAAACCCGCATGGTCTTCGCTTTTCCCTGCCGCCTGCTCTTTTACGACCCCTCCAGCGACGCCTATTTAAATTTTTTATAGCTTTCAGCATAAGGACGGATGTAAAATTCTTTGTTCCAAGAGGTTACTATCATGGCGTCCTTACAAAAATGTCTTTCCTGGCTCTATTTGGTTGCAAGGACCCAGAAATAAGAATGGCATTTAAAAAGTGGAGATGCCGGGGATCGAACCCGGGGCCTCATACATGCAAAGCATGCGCTCTACCACTGAGCTACATCCCCCGCCTGGTTCTCCTCCCCCTCGGAAGATCCCTGCAATACTCTATTCATCACTGTTTGGATTTTTTTTTTAATTTTTTTTTCATTATTTTTTTTCTGTTTTCCTCTAAATTAAATTTGTGTGTATTTATTTAAAAGGATTTTGAGAGCTTAGCAGAATTGTCTTAGATTTCCCAAACAAATGTGTTCATTATTGCGTTGATATAAGCTAAAATGTTTACCCGATTCACAGAATAAACAGTAAACAAAACAAAACAAAAAACCCCAAAAAATAAGGACTGCTTGAAGCTTTTCCTGTCTCTCCCTCCACCTGCACCCCCCCCTCCTGAAGAATTTTCTGGATATGAAAATGGCCTTACAGTTTCCGACCCCACAATTAGGGCTCAGTTTTGGAGCAAGGACTCAAAACTCTGCAATATCTCTGCGAACAGTGTCGTGGGTGGGGGTCGGGCTGGTCTTTGCCTGGGAGCCGCGAGGAGAGGCCACAAGCCTCCAGGGCTACACCCGGGGATTGCCTATCTCTTCCTGCGTGGACGCCGTACCCTCAGAGGATCTATCTGCCTGACACTGATACCCATCCACGCACTCACAGCAGCTGGTGCCTGACGTCGTCTGCAAGAATGCTGGGCACGGCAGCGGGCACTGCCTGACCTCTCTGAGCCTCCTGTGAGACACGGAGACACCGACAGACCCAACCCTGCCCCTCTCTAGGACAAACAACAAGGAGAAAGCCTGTACAGGCTCGAGCAATGAGGATTGGTGGTCGTCGCTGGTGTGGACTGCAGCAAAGGGCTGCTGCATCCTACATCGTCATCCCCCTGTCGCATGTGTGAAGTCCCACATCATCTTGTCCCTGGGTCTCGGGGCGGGGAGGGGGGAATTGGAGGCTGCGTTGCTCACAGGAAATGGAGGGGTCCATGGGCAACCTCCTCCTCTGGGTCTGAGGTCCAGGGAGGGAACCGGGCAAACAAAGGAATGACCGACTTTGAACCCGCCTCCAGGAGCAAGCCGAGGCTGCTCCCCTTCCTCTCCACGGGGGTTTGCACTCGCTCAGCGTGCAATGGCCTTCCCAGTTCCCGCGATCGGCTCCTTTTTACGGACCACCCCAACCCCTCTAAAGGGGCCCACCAGGGAACAGGCGAACGGAAGGGTGGCGACAGTCCGGGAAGATGCACGATTCCCCGGGGACAAGAACACGTCCTCAGTTCACAGGCATCATCCGAAGGCTGTGGGCAGGGGCTGGAGTCAGAAGGAGACGCAGCGTGGGTCGCAGCGTGAGCCGGGTCTGAGCCTCCGTCTTGTGACTGCGGGGACCAGGGACACGGAGGGACAGCCGCGGGAGAACAGGGTCTTTCTGGCGACTTGCCACCCGGGCTGAGCTCAGGTCCAAGAGGGTGGAGCCCAGCAGTAAGGGTCCAGCTTATTTTTCTGCGACAGGGTGAAGTATGTCCATGGGAGTTAAAAAAAATTTAAATCGGTTGGAAGATGAACGAAAAAACACAAAAGAATTGCAAATCTCCCCGTCGGGGAATCGAACCCCGGTCTCCCGCGTGACAGGCGGGGATACTCACCACTATACTAACGAGGAAGACAGCTGTTAGCTACCTTGGCAAGAGGGTCTTTTAAGATGCTTTGAATTCCGTGACCAAACAAAACAAAACAAAACAAAACAAAACAAAACAAACCCCCCCCACACACAAAAATAAATAAATATGATTTGATTGAATCTCGTCCTTGAAATGTCCATCCCTCACTTGAGTTTATATTTCGCCGCCTGGATTCAGACCGCAGGCATTAATAAATGAACGCCAAGCATTCACCGGCAGACATCAACAAACATCTCAGGGACGAATTCGCGCTTCAGCGGAAGGCGCTTTAGGAACCACTTCGATTCACCCCAAAAGAAGAGCACGGGAAAGTTTCCAGAGAATTTGGCTTCAGTGCACGATGCTCGGGGCTTTTAGGGAAAAAACAAAAACAAATAGAAAAAGCGAAAGCGTTTCATAAACTGTAAAGGAATGCAGAAGAAAAAAGGAGAGCTGCCGAAACCCGGGATCGAACCAGGGACCTTTAGATCTTCAGTCTAACGCTCTCCCAACTGAGCTATTTCGGCGGCTGTTTCCAGGTCGTTTCTTTTCTCCTCTCCTTGTCGTTTCTGAAACTTTGCATCCTTGGCTTTCGCAAGATCCGAAGCCTGGAAATTGACGTTTTCCAATCTCATCCCTGGGTCACTCGCGTGCCGTGGTCCCCGCGGGTCCTCTAAGGCCACTCACTATCTACGAGGGTCCTTCAGAGACCCCCCCCCCCAGGACTTTATTGTCTACAGTGAATTTATTTATCATTTCCCCTGTGTATTAGCTGGAAGGACACACCTACGCTGACCTCGGCCACCGCGGAAGACCCCAGAACTGGCAACGCTTACTCAGTGTTTGCAGAGCGCGTAACAAACGCACGGATAAGCCCTTCTCGGCTTAGAGTTCTACGACTCCTGCTCCCCACTCCCCTCTTGGAGAAGGAGCAGGGTCACCTCTGGATGCAGGCCGCTGCCCGGCACCCAGGGGTAACTGATGCTCCCTGGGCAGGGCCACACCTGACTCAGATCCGGCCTCCGAGCGTGGTGCCCATGCCTGTGCACACTTGCTCAGTCTCGAATCTCGGGGGAAACGGAACAGAAGAGGATGGGATGGGGATGGGCCCTTCCTGCTTCCTTCCCTGCGGTGAGCAGCAAGTGGAAGGCTTGTCTTGGGGACCAAGGGGAGGAAGTGGGGCCCCAGAGGCGGGCAGTGAAGGCCAGGAGAAGGGATTAGATGTTGGGCAGAGCTGGAAGCCCCCTGAGAAGGTCTTCCCCGCTACTGAGAGCATGGGCTGGTTGATCTACAGAGACAGACACATCTGGGAGGGGTGAGGGCTGGTGGGGTGGTCCAACCCGGAGCTGTGGTGTCTGGGCCATGCCTGCAGAAGCGGGCCTAGAAAGGGACATTGAGGGGGCTCAGGAGGAGGAAAGGGACCTTGTTGATGGCCTGGATCTGGGGTTGGGGGTGGGGGGCAGGAAGGGGTGAAGAGGATGCCCAAGAGTTGGCTTCATGGTGGAAAGTGGGAAGTCTTCGGGAGTGGGTCGTATGAGAAGGAGCAGTTGGGAGAGGGGAGAGACAGAGACAGAGGAACAGAGACAGAGAGACAGGGAGACCGAGAGGAAGACAGAGGGACAGAGACAGAGAACAGAGAGACAGATGAGAGAGAAACACACACAGAGACAGAGGGACAGAGACACACACAGAGAGACAGAGAGACAGACAGAGACAGACGAGAGCGAGACAGAGGGACAGAGATAGAGAGAGACACATACAGAGAGAGAGAGAGAGAGGGGAGAGAGAGAGAGAGAGAGAGAGAGAGAGAGAGAGAGAGAGAGAGACTGCCTTGGGCTTGCAGCCTCTAGTTCCGGGGGATTTACCTTTCTGTTGTTTAACACTCCCAGCCTTTGGGGTTTTGTCATGGCTTGGCAGCGCTGGAGGTCACACAGCCAGGCTACAGTGTACCTATCCATCCACACGCTGGGTTTTCCTGGACAGGGCTGAGACTGGCTTCAGTGGTCGTGTACGGGGATGATGTAGAAGAAACAGGAGGTCTTGCTCCCTTCAGGAAGCCTATTCCCGCCCCGCCCCCACCTCACTGGCGGGCAAACACTCTGCACCCAGACCTTTTAGTTTGAGACAGTCTTACTAAGTTGCCCAGGATAGCCTTCACCTCTCTTATTAGTTCAGGCTGGCTCGGTTCCCAGCACCCACAAGGTGGCTCACAATCATCAACTCCAGGTTCAGGGAATCTGACCCTTCGACGGACATCTCCGAACAGCAGGTATGTCCGCAGTGCACATACATACACGCAGGCAAAACACAAAATAAAATAAATCTAAAACAAAAATCAGTTTGGGTACATAAAGTCTTGTCTCAAAAAAAAAAATAATAAAAAACAAAGAAATGGGAGTGGAGGAGATGAAATTCTGTAAGCTAAGCCTTGGGAAGGCTGAGGCAGGAGAATTGCTCCTGGAGTTGAAGGCGTGGTTACAGGCCAAAGAGGAATTATAAAACAAAACCCTAGTGAGAAGTGGGCACCTGCTTTACGCTTCTCAGCGCGTGCTTTAGCTTGGCTTTTACAAATAAAGAAGTAAAAGTAAATAAGACCGATCTTCAGGACAAAAACGGAGTAAGGTGGGAAAGAAAAATGGGAGGAAACGGAGGACAGGGGTCTCTTTGCAGAGGAAGCCCTGTCGGCAGGCTTGGGAGTTGGCGTTAACCAGATGCCCAGGGGCCGGACCTCCTCCTTAGCCATGCTCACACGCGCCAGCCCCAGTGAAGTTGTGGGGAGGAGGGAGTGGCTGTAAAATTCAGGACAGCTGAGGGTAAGGTTGGGCAGAAAACCGTGTAAGGATCCGGTTGATGGTGGTAGTTCCGCGAGACCCTATTGCTCAGATCCATCGTGCACGAGTTCCCTAAGACCCTCTTGCTCAGATCCACGGTGCAGAAATCTCAGGATTTCTAAAACGCAAAATCCTTTGTTCGGTCTCCCCGTCGGGGAATCGAACCCCGGTCTCCCGCGTGACAGGCGGGGATACTCACCACTATACTAACGAGGACGAACCATGCTGGAGTCTCTCCAGACAAGTGGCTATAGACAGATAACGCACAGTGGCGGGTACCCGGTTTCTTCTCCCTTCCATATTCCTCCTCTCCTGCTCCTTCCCTATCCCTCCCCTGGTTCTTTCCCTCTCTCTTTTCCTCCCTTCTGAGACCTCAGTTCATGACGCCATCGTCACCAACCGAGATCGAAGACTTTAGAGCAGCAGTGTTTGATTGCTATCATCATTCTGGAAAGCCCGCCCCTCAACCAGGGGATGTAGCTCAGTGGTAGAGCGCATGCTTTGCATGTATGAGGCCCCGGGTTCAATCCCCGGCATCTCCACTATTTCTTTTCTTTTTCCTTTTTAAAACCTCTTTAGTAAATCAGGTCAGAAAACAACACTAGAGACCAAGACCTTCGTCCCCATCAAGCGGAGAGCCGGTGCCCCAGGAAGGACCCTACGGAGCGGCTTTGCGCGGGTGGCGGGAATCTACGTTTGTAAACCAACTCGCGTAGTTACTTGTGAATGGAGCAGGAGGAAAACATTGCCTTTCCAAGGAGGTTCTGTAACGGGCAGCTCCTGAGTGCCTATTGCCGCGTAGTGTGCACCCATCGTGCGTCCAAACAGATCGTCAAGTAGCCCAAGTAACCTTGCCAAGACCACGCAAAGAGTCTCAACCCTTCGGGAACTCAAATTCCAGCTCCAGGCTAACACTAAGGATCCCTAGGGATGTTTCATAAGGACGCAGAGAACTGCGGGGACACCCACGAGATCTGCATGACCCGGAGCCGGTGGGCGCACATTCCCTGAGCGCGAAGCAAGAGCTTTGGGATGAAAGGGCCAGAAAGCTGCCTGGTGTCTGGACTTTAATGGATGGGGTGGAACTGAGGTTTTGGAAGCCCCCGGAAGGCTGGAGGACAGGGACTTGGTTCTATATCATCAGTGTTTTAAAGGCTCCTTCTGGCGGTCACGTGAAGTTTTGCAGGCTGGCGCTGGAGGTGCAGCGGGGTGAGGTGGGGGTGGTTAAACTGGCCGATTCTGTAATATTGCCTAACTCGGAGGGCCCCGTGCTTTGTATAGTCATCCCCTTTAGGTTTGTTCTGCCACTCCGAGGCTTGTCACTCACGCGTGGCACCCCCGACTTTCTACCCTCTACTTCGACAGCACGGATGCCTACACGGAACAGCGCCCGTGAACTGGACAACGTCTACTTAAACATATTATTTGATGACTGGGGTGTAGCTGTTTGTAGAGCGCTTACCGAGAATGCACAATAGCTGGCATTGGATAAGCCAGGCATAGTGGCGGATGCCTGTCATTCCAGCACTCGAGGAGCGTTTGAGGCTAGCCTGGGCTGAGATGCTTTCTCCTTAGCACACGCGGAGGGGCTCCGGGTTCTCTCTCTGCTCACCAGCCTCGGGGATTGACTGCCTCGATCCTTAAATTCTTTATCCTCACCAAGGATGAGGTTACAGGTGTGACCCACCCCGGTCTGGCTTATGTGGCACTGGGGTTGGTACCCTGGGCTACCACGCCAGTCCTTGGGGCTATAACTTCTAAGTCACTGGGAACTATTACTTTCCTGCCTGGTTGAGAGGGTGAGCATCTCTCCTGTTAGCAGGAAAGGCCTCTATAACCACCTGAATGCTGATCACTGGAGCAGGTTTGGGAAAAGATAGTTTATTCATGGAGGTGGGAGGACCAGGCCTCCTAACTGCCTCTCCAACAGCTTGGGAACATTCCTGGATAAAGCAGGGTGATTCAAGGGGTGAATTCGGTGAAGTACCCCAGGAGGCCAGGAGTTAGTCTCCAAGCTCAAGGGAAAAGGGTCCTCGCCAGTAGGGCTAGCACACTTCCCTTACCACCTGGAAGATAGAGACAGGAAGATCCATCGGTACAAGGTGGTCTGAGCCAAGTGTGGTGGCACACACCTGTTACCCTAGCTCTTGGGAGGTGGAGGCAGGAGGATTATGAGTTCAAGGCCAGCTACACAGTGTGCTCAAGGCCAGGCTGGGCTACATGAGAGACCCTGCTTCAAAATTTAAAAAATATGAAACCAGAGCCTTCAAGCTGACTCACTGGATAAAGGAAATTGCCAGGACCAACAACAGACCCAAGTCCCCTTCCCAGGACTTGGGAGACAGAGGCAGTCATTTTCTAGGAATCTGGGACCAGCCTGACCCATATAGAGTTCTAGGCCAGCCAGAGCTATATGAAACCCTGCCTCAAAACCAATACCCGGGACTTACCCCGCCTCCCCACACACACACACTTAAAAAAAAATTACACTGGGTTTCATAGGGTAACCTTCACACAGCCTATAGCCTGTTTTGGGAACGACCCCTTTCCCATCATCCTCTCCTCCTGTTAATCCCCTTTGCTTCCCAGTTTGCTTTCAGGACACCAATAGGATGTATGGTTTTATTTATTTATAAAGTCCAGGGCCCACAAATAGGAGAAAATGTAACATCTTTCTGTGGTTGGCTTAATCTGCTTAGTAGGATAATCTCCAGTTCTGGTTTTCCTTAATGGCTGAAAGAAATCCCCTTCTTACATAAACCATTTGCTTTACCCATTCTCCACCTGGATGGGAACCCGGCTGGTTGTAATAGCTTAGTGTCCATGATGTGTTGCCTTGGAGTGCTCTGGTAAATACCCAGCAGTGGCATTGCTGGATCTTAAGGTAGACCTTTGCAGGGGTCTGAGATGCCTCCATATTGATTTCCACAGTGGCTGGACTGGTTTCCTTTCCCAGTATCGGTGTGTGCAAGAACTCCGGTTGGCCCAGGCTGTGCTGGAAATCTGAGATCCACCCACCTCCCTCTGCCCCCCACCTGCTGGGATTAAAGGTGCGCACTACCACACCTGGCTCATCAGCTATTTTCACATACATGCCATTTGCCTGGGGTGAAATCTCCTGTGGTTAGATTTATTTGTATTTTATCCATGCGTGTTTGCCTGATGAGCCAGAAGACAGAATCAATGAGATCCCCTAGAACCAGAGTTACAGATGGCTGTGAAGAGCCATGGGGAAGCTGAGAACCAAACCCAGGTCCTCTGCGAAAGCAGGAAGTGCTCTTAACCGCTGAGCATCTCTCCAACCTCTCATGTAGTTTTGATTGGCATTTCTGACAGCTCAGGAAGCTGGCTTTTACTTTTATTTATGTGTTTATCTGTGCACAATGTGTACAGTGCTTGGACAGGCCAGAAGAGGGAACTGGATCTTCTGGAACCGGAGTTACAGATGGTTGTTAGTCACCATGTAGGTGCTGGGAATCGAACCCAGGTCCTCTGGGAGAGCAGCCAGTGCCATCTCGACCATCTCATGAATCCTGGCTGAATATTTTGCTCTTTTGCACACTTCCATTTCATCTTTTGAAAACTGTCCATTTTATGTCATGCGGTGGTGGCACATGCCTTTAATCCTAGCACTGGGGAAGCAGAGGCAGGTGGTTCTCTGTGAGTTCAAGGCCAGCCTGATCTACAGAGTGAGTTCCAGGACAGCCAGGACTACACAGAAATAAAAACAAAAACAACAAACAAAAACAAACAACAAACAAAAACAAAACCCACAGAACTTGCTGTCTCTGGATGCCAGACAGGACCCTTGCAACGGGTCTCTTCCACCTGTGTGAACAGGGCTCTGGGGTGATAATTGTCCCTCACTGGGGCCAACCTTTCAGGAAAAGTCCCTGGGTCACAGAAGTCTGCTGTGATGCAATGCACCTCCTGCCCAAGATGCTACGAGGCTGGACAGGTCCCTGGGGGAACGGTCCACTTTCCTGTCCCAGTGGAGCCCTGTACATCCAGAGGCGCTAATGTCCCCCGAAGACAGACAAACCCTATCTCGTCGGACAGTCACAAAGAAGGCACCCATGGTCAGGGCGGCAGCGAGCGTGGCTCTGAATTGGGCTTCCAGGGCCGCAGCATGTCTCCTGGTGTCAGCCTAGGAGCCGGCTGACGATGCAGCTGACTATGTGGTCATCAGTCAGCGATGGGGGGCCAGCTCTTCTCAATGTCGGCGTGCATAGCCTTTGGGAGCCACTCACAGTACTCAGCCAGCAGGTCTGTGGGAAGAGGTGGCCAGGGTTAGAGTGCCAGGCCAGGGACTTGCTTGGATGGACACACCACCATGGCCCATGGATGGTTAGGTCCTTCCACTGAGCAACATGCCCACCACCCCAGCCTGGTCACAACTCACATCTGGGGCTTTTCTTCCACGCAGCCAGCAGGGCATCACGGGAGTCTGCCTTCTCAGCCACAAGGGCTCTCAATAGGCTCTCTGTCCTGGGTTGCAACCTGTGGACAGGGGCAGCTGACTAGACCCAGAAGAGTGGACAGCTGGTGGGTGGGGACCTGTCACTCAGCCCTGAAAGCCTCTTGGAGCATGTAGGGTACACCGGCACCCCTCCCTACTCATGTCCAACAGCCCCTTAGGGTACCCAGATGTTCCTTATCATGAGGGTACACTGGACTAAGTTGGGCCCTACCACCAAGACTGGGGCCCATATAAGGAGGGGACACAGAAAAGAGGAAGAGGCAAGATTGGAATGATGCAGCCACTAGGAGAGAGACAGGTAGGGAGAGTCCTGGGGAGAGGTCGGGGTCCCTGCATCTTTCAGATGGCTGAAATGTGCTAGGCTCACTGATAACTCCAGAATGAAGGAGGCTCCTAGAGTCGTCGCATCGCGGCATACATGACTGACAAGGGAGCCCCAGAGAAGCCTCTCTGGCACCGCCTGCCTTGACAGTTTCGGCATACACTGGTGTACCTGGCCCAAGTCTTCAGCATGGTGCTGGGGCTAGACAGCAGGCAGCTCCTGAATGAAACCAGCTTGCGGAAAACCTGGGGAGAGAGCATGGGCTGGGTGAGTGGGACCTGCAGCTCATGACCCCTAGGAAACAGGCTGCAGGGAGCCCAAGCACCTACCTGTCCCTCCAGCAGAAACTGTGCAAAGTGCTTGTAGCGGTCAATGCCCTCAGGGAAGTCCACCTGGACGGCAGGGAGTGGCCAGCCCACGCGGTCTGGAGGATGGGAATATGTGATAAAGAGCCCATGTCACACCCATCCTCCCAAGCCCATCAGAGGAACAGGAGGGCTAGGGTGACATCCTCAGGCACATGTCCAAGAGCAGGGTATGGGCTGAGGGTGGCCGGACCCCCAAGGAAGTGGCCCCAACTCACAGAACACACTAGCCCGGTGGCACAGCACCCGTCCTGACTCTGGACAGTAAGCAGGGGCTGGCTCCTCCAGGGGTGCATCGAACTGGCAATAGGAAGGCAGCAGGGACGGGATCCACTGGATTTCCACCGTGGAGACACCTGAGGCCAGGAGAGGGCAGTCAGGAGGTCTCCCATGCTCTCCCAGACAGACAGGGTGCTCCTCAGGGCCCACTGATGTCACCCTGTGACTTGAGTCCAGGCCACTACGCAGTACCTTTCATGTACATTTTGGTAGTCTCCACGATTTCCTGGTAGACTACAAACTCAGGCAGCTCTCTGAAGAGCACAGAGCTGGGATGGATGAAGACAGGGTCATCTAGGAGAGGAGTCTGCAGAGAGAGGTGGATGGAGGCTCAGGTCAGAGAAAAGTCTGAGCTCTCTGGGCTCTCTTGGCCTTTCAAGTCTAACCTTCAGGATCCAACCATCAAGCCAGAAAACCAATGACCAGGTACTACCCAGGATACATTGCTCCTTGGCCATCAGCAGAGCCGAAGCATGGGGCTGGGAAGAGGGCTGAAGGAATAAAAACACTTGCCATGCAAGCCTGGTGACCTGTTGGATGTCTGTCTGTATATGTGTGTCCCTCACACTAAAATAAACAGAGGGCTAGGGCCAGTGCGGTGGCTCAGTGAATAAAGGCCCCTGCCACCAAGCTTGGGAATATGAGTTCATTCCCTGGGACCCACATGGTGGAAGGAGAAAATGGATTTCTGAAATCCTTTGATTTCCATATGTGCACCACAGCACCATACACACACACACACACACACACACACACACACACACACACACACACAAAAGCACGCACACAAAGTAAAACGCAATCTCCTTGTGGGGGCATAGCCCGGAACCCTAGCACTTGGGGGGCTGAGGCAGGAGGATCAACCGGTCTCAAAAACAGAAGGTGAGGCCCTGGTGTGGACGGACCTCAGAAACACAGTGCTGGGGAAGGGGGGTAGCCCCAGCACACCAAGCACCTCCTGGAGAACTGCTTAGTACAGGAAGAGCCAGACCCTGGGCGCTGGGTGGAAAGAAGGCTCGGGTTTCTCTAGGGCAGAGAAAAGCGTCTCAGTTGACCGTGCTGATGCTTCCATGCTGAACACAGTCAAGTCAGGGGGTTGACTTTATGGGGTTGACTTTATGGTATAAATGCATCTCTAGAAAGTAACCTTGAAGCTGAGGGGACACCCTCGCCCTCAACGAACAACAGCCCCCACTTGCTCTTTGCTGGGGCTCCCCCAGAGGTCCTGGGGCCCGTGTCCCACCTTGTAGGCATTCTTCCACTTGGGGTCTAGCAGATCCTCATTCTGAACCCGGCGGGCCAGGTGGTCACCCAGGCCAGCTGCCATGATCTGCCGCAGGTAGGTCACCTGGCTCTCAGTTGGTGGCTGCATTTTGGGGTCCAGGAAGAGCCCAGCCTCAGGGCACACTGCGTTGACTGGGAAGAGGGTGAGAAAGATGTGTGTGAAGCAGAGGTCAGAGGAAGTCTGCCAGGCCTTCAGGAAATCACCCAACACCTGGGCCCTGCCCACATAGTGCTTGATTCTGAGGCACAGGTCAACAGTGACTCAGCCCAGAGCCCTTCCAAGGCCATGGCCTAGATTCTTATGCTTGCAAAGCCCTGCCAAGGGACAGGCTCCCAGGTGGTAGGATAGTCACAGGAACCTCAGCCTTATCCGTCCCACCTGCTGAAAGGTGGCCTGCAGAGACCTGTGGCCCCACATGGCCACCTGTCATAAGTGTCAGGTGGTTGTCCACAATTTCAGGGTGTTGCCTCTGAGGATAAGGGTGAATAAGTATGACAGTGGAAAGGATAGCAGGCCCCAGTGATGCCCTGCTACTGGGCAAGTGTGGGCCGGAGAACAGCCACTGGTCCAAGCAGCCTGGAGCTGCTAGAATAGCACTGAGTCTACAATTAGCCTTTGAGATGGAGGAGGCTGTACAGACGCCATCTGAGCCCAGTGACCACCCTGTATCATAAGGTGGGGACACTCCTGGAGTCCTAGATGCTGTTGACAGGAGCCACCTGTGGCTAAGATGAGTATGAATCTTGCACCCACGAGGCCAGAATTTGGGACGCGTGGGAGGGAAGAAAGAGCCTGGCTGGAACAGGGAAGAGGACCGAGGGGTGTGGCCAAGGGGCAGAAGCCTGAGGGACAGCCTTCTGGGTGAGTGTGCAAGGGAACCTGTCTAAGGGTACTTGGAGCTGACTTGGGGTTATGAGTCCATCTTAACGGGCAGGCGAATGAGCAAGTGTTGAGTCTCCATCACCAAACTCAAGCATGGGCACAGTGGGGACCAGCGGTCTGCCCATGCTGTCGCCTAGGCCGTACCTGCGGTGGTCAGCTGGCCACGCAGGCGCCGGATCTCTAGCATGGCCTTGTAGCGCAGTCCGTTAGCGTGGCAAAACTGGGGTGAGCAGCCGGCGTACTCACAGGCTCCCACAGCACCTGTGGGGCAGGGTAGGGTGTTCTCACTGGTTGGCTCCAACCCACTCCAAGCTGCCAATCACCCTCCTTCATGCCCTAGAGGTGGCACCAACCCAGCAGCACCATGAGGTCCCCAAGCTTCAGAGACGCCCCCTGCCCGGCCCAGGTCCTCTTCATCTGGGCCACCCGGGCTCGTCGGCCCTTCAGCTCTGCAAGCTCCTCTTCACTGGCGGCTGGTCTGTAAACACACACACATGGCCCACTGGCCTTCAGCCCACTGTCCTCAGGGACCCCCTGACCATCGGCGTCTCCAGACCCTCCCGCTTCACCCTTTCTTTCAGATCTAGCAGCTCGGGCTCCGAGGGACCAGGCCGTCACCGACCCACCTGTCCAGCTCCTCGAAGAGCTCCCGCACAGTCATGGCAGCCACAATGGCGATGGTGTAGGGCAGGCAGCCGTGCTGCTGGCTCAGGGCTAGCATCTTGGCGTAGCGGGGTGCCACGGGGAAGGTGGACATGATCCGCCCCAGTGCGGTGATGGGGCAGCTCAGCTGTGACATCGGCAGCCTTTTCATTCTGGGGACAAGAGTCACAGCGGGTAGGAGCCAGGGAGCCCGCACTTGGGGGAGGCTCCGTCCATGCTTGGGGCCCCCTCGCCCTCCTACCTCTCGTCTTTCTGAGGTGCCTGCAGGGCCCCCAGCGCAACCAGCAGCTCCTCGGCAGCAATCAGGGCCTCCACGGACGGAGGTGTGGGGAACGGGAAGTTGATGACCTGGGTACAGGAAGGAAGGAAGGAGAGGGGCAAGTGACGCAGAGAAGCAAGGCCCCGTCAAGTCACACGGCTGTACCAGGTACTGGTCCCTCTTCCCTCCAGCCTGTCCCCAGGCCATGGGTCATGCTAACTGGGACACGGGTCCTGAGTGCTCAGGAAGTTGTCAAGATCTCTCCAGGCTTGTGTATTAAGATGACCCCAAATTAAACCTACTCTGTGTTGGGGGTGATCCTTGTCAACTAAAATCTAGGAGTTTAAAAAGCAACAACATACAAATCATCATAAAATAATTAGAAAAACAGCCTGACAATTATGGTATTATGCTTGAAAAACATAACCGTGTCCAGAGGTATGAATGTGAAGTTCTCAGTGATGACCTAAACTATTTTAGTTTTCTTAACTCTGAGTCGGTTATGTTTGTAACAAAGAAAAAAAAAAAATCACTGGGGATTCCCACTCCTCCTTAAATGGGCAGATTTTTTTCACTAGAACTCATCTCAAGAAGAGGGCATAGGTCTGTGTCACTGCATGCAGTGAGGGTACAGTCTTTTTATTTTAAGAGACAGGGTCCTGCCAAGCATGGTGGGCACACCTTTAATCCCAGCACTTGGGAGGCCACAGCAGGCAGATCTCTGTGAGTCTGAGCCTAGTCTGCTTAGGGAGCTCCAGGCCAACCAAGACTACATCATCAGACCCTGTCTCAAAACAAAGAGAAAAACATGGTTTCATTCTTGTGCTGAAACTCCTGTTTCAGGCTGGTCTCAGCCATGGCAATTCTCCTGCCTCAGCCTTCCAAATGTTAGTTAGGGCTATAGATGTGAGCCATCATGCCTAACTGTATCTTCACCCTCTAATCTTCCTGTTTCTACATCCTCAGTGCTGGGGTTTCAGGTTTGCACCCATACCCAGTTCATGTGGTGCAGGGTATCAAACTCAGTCCTTTGTATGTTCAAGGCAAGCATTCAACCAATCAAGGTACATCCCCAGCCAAGGGTATATTTTAATTTTGGGGGAGGGTTTAAATTTACTTATTTGTATGTGCATGTGGGTGCACATGTGCCACTGAGCAAGCGTGGAGAACAGAGAACACGCAGGAGTTGGCTCTCTCCTTCCACCACAGGTTCCTTGAAAGGTCAGTCATCAGGCTTGGGAGCAGGTGCCTTTACCTGCTGAGCCATCTCCCTAGACCAATCCAGAGTGTGGTCTGAGTCCTGGGATAGGACCAGGACCAGATGCGTTTTTAGACACTTCCGAGATGTGTTCGTGAACAGAGGCTGTCTCTTCCCTGCCTTGGTTTCCTTCTCTATTAAGTGGTGTCCGGCTGTCACGTGACAGGGCTGGGCAGGGCATGCAGCATAAGCCGACCCTCTTCGCTGGACTATTCTGTCCGGGAGTGGGGACAGGAACCCCCAACTCCGTCTGAGGACCATGCCAGGGAAGCCCGCATCCAGGGATCAGCAGGACACCTCTGAGTGCCCATAAGCAGTGTGAGACCTGGCTGTCCATAAGCCTCTGTCCCCCAGGGCACCTTCTGACAAACCTGGGGATACCACTTCCTTTGGTTTCCCTGGCAGGCGCAGCTCGGGGATGACAGACGGGGAAGGCAGAAGGGAGGTTACTGGCAAGACTAACCTTCTCAATGTTGAGGGCTTTCATCTGCAGGATCAAGTCCTCCACTGGTCTGCGAGTGATCTCCGGGGGAGGGAACTGCTCAAAGTCCCCGAAAACAGCTGAGGAATACAGCCTAAGTGCGGGGGAGTAGGGACCACAAAGTTAAGTCAACCACACCTCTAGACCTAGTCATGGCTGCCACTCACAGGGCCAGGTCCTTGCCTCAGCAGTGGCAGTCCCACCTCCAGCTACCCTGACTGTATTCCCTTGTATTTTCTAACTTGTCCCTTCTGTAAACTCAAATGGTATTGGAAGAACAGCAACAAAGCTGTTCAGAGTGACGTCATTAGGAGAACTATTGACCGGTGACGTAATGATGAGGACCCAGCTCCTGGACTCAGAAGAGCCCAGCAAGCCATCAGCAGACACACAGAGCCTAACTGAGAACTGAGGAAAGGTCTGAAGAGACAGTTCCCGAAAAGGCACAGAGGCAGGCAGTGCCCGAAGAGGCTAAGCACCTGCCTGAGGGAAACACAGACCCAGAGCCAGTGACAGGAGAGCCTGCCTTATGCATCTGCACACAAACAATGGGGTGAAGGTGGGAGATGAGAACCAGGGCCCCTGGCTAGCGGCTGCTCCCTCCATTATTAAGCGTTAAGCCTAGAGCTCCACAGGGCCAAGGATACACACAGACGTCCAAACACAGGGGCATGTGCGTTTACCACAGGAAAAATGTGCAGCAGAGATGGACAGTAACCATGGGACAAGAAGGCAGTGAGTAGAAAGTGACTTGGCCACCAGGAGAAGCATGACAAGATGACCCCGAAAACTCATCACACTGGGTGGTGGAGCCTGACAAAAGGTAACACCCAGAGTGACCACTCACAGGAGCGCTGCCTCAATGGTGGCGACAGCTGCCCAACTATGAAAGCGTTTTAGAAAGTGGATTACTCCTGAACTGGCTGTGGACCCCCGATCACAAACCCAGCAGCCAGGGCAAGGGAAAGCAGCCATCAGTGTGGGAAGGCTGTGGTGCTCCTGAGGACACAGGGCCCTCTCACTGCACAGGGCAGCGGCAGTTCTGCTTCTCAATGCCCACACTGCAGGAACAAGTGGCCTACCTATAACAGTGGCCCGGCTCTGTCCGGCCTGCACGACCAGCCCGCTGGTCAGCGGATGCCTGGGAGACCCAGGTGATACGGAAGGAGGACACGCCTGTGACTCGGTCGTAAAAGCGTTTTTTAACTTTCCCACAGTCCACCACATACTTGATGCCGGGGATGGTAAGGGATGTTTCGGCCACATTGGTGGCCACGACACACAGCCTTGTCCCCTCTGGAGGAGGTTTGAAGACCTGGGGAGGGGGTGGGTGGGCAAGAAAACAGATCAGGTGAAAACCTGAGACAGCCAGTGGACAAGAGCCACTGCTGTCCACCAAGCTCAACCATCAGGTGTGGTTTCTATGGCTCCCTCCACTGTCAGGGACTGGTCAGTTTTATAAACAGATGGAAAAGCTCCCGAGGCCTGACTCACCCCGTCTCAATGCTCTCGAGAGCCGTCGCATTACCTGTGCCTGCTTCTCCGGGGCCAGCAAGGAGTAGAGCGGGAGCACGTGAAGGGGCAGGGAGGCATCTGGCTGCTCACCTGCGGCCAAGCATAGGACACTGGAGTCCAGGCTGGACAGATGCCACAGGCATAGGACTGCCTCTGTCTGGCAGCTATCTCCCCGCCCCCCCGAAGTGAGAGGCCAATCCCAGCCCCAGTTTGAGGGCTCATATTCAGATACAGTACTAGAAAGCCCCTGAATGTTGTTACTACTGCCCAGCATGGGCCTGTGATGCTGCCCTACGGCACTATCCCGAGAGCAAGCTGGTCCCACGTGTGTGTCTGGGCAGTGTGGCAGGCTATGCTTGTATGGAAGGAGCCCTTTCTGGACACAGAATCCATAGGCGATACACAGCCTATGCTGGGTTCAAGCCAGCCTTCTGAGCATCTGGGGCCACAGATGTGTGCTATCACACCTAGCCCAAGCTGGACAACAAGGAGCTGTCCCATCAACATACACAAGAGACTCTAGACCCCTTCCCTGTTGCACGAGGTCTGGGTCAGCTCAGGAAAGGCCAGCCTAGGGATGATGACCCTGGCACTACCATGACAAGTATTAGGACCTCAGGAGACCCCCGTGGACAAAGCTATCAGAAAGGCCCACTCTCTGTGCTCACATACTTGCAGGAGCCAGGATGTGTTTGGTCACATGTGTGAAGATGGGACTTAAGATACTTCTGGTCCCAGGGCCAAGATGGCCCTTGATCAAGCAGTAGGGCTCAGCAGACCCACGCTGAGATCAAGAAGCAATGAGCCCGAGGGTAGCATGTTGCCCAGCCACACACCTTCATTTGCCTCACTGTCACCCAGGTCCAGATCCAAGTCGGAGCCCAGGGCCTCCTCCTCGTCGTCCATCTCTGCCTCCCTGTCCTCATCGCCTTCGCCTGCTGGCAGCACAGAGTAACTGTCCAGGTTGATCTGGGGCAATGCCTGAGGGAGGACATGTCAACACCATGGGGTCAGGCAACCTGGGAGTGAACACAGTGGGCATCTCCTCACAGGGACCTACAAGGTGAGGAGAATACTGGACAATAATCTCTGCCTCAGTTTCCCAGATTAAAGATTAACAGCACCCACACAGTAGCTCACAACCATCTCTAATTCTAGTTCCAGAGTATCTGACTCCCTCTTCCAACCTCCCCATGCACCAGGCACGCACATGGTGTATACAAACATACACACTGCAAAAACTCATGCACATAAAATCAATTTAAAGAAGTAGTTCTTTTAAAAATTAGGTATGAATTAGGTGTGGTGATACACATCTTTAATCAGTATTCTAGAGGCAGAGATAAGTAGATCTCAGTGACTTCAAGGCTAGCCTAATCTACATAGCAAGTTTCAGGCCTGCCAAGGTTACATCGTGACATTCTATCTGAATAAGTAAACAAATTAATAAATTAGACATAAGCATGGGATCAAACCCCAAGGCTCCTGCGAGAAGCCACAATCGAGTAGCCACACCACTGACACTCCATCTAGCTATCACGGTGCCTGGGGTGGCCTCTCCCGCGGCCTGCCCCCAGCTTCTGATGGCAGATCCCCTGACCTCAGCAAGCAGTCATGGCTCTACTGATGCTCCAGGATCCGCCCAGGCAGGCTCTGTGTTGTAAATCACAACGCGCCCCAACCTGGTACCCTCCACGGCCACCCACCAGACTCTGTGCTGTGGGACGGGGCTGGAGCAGCGTGGCCCCAGCCACCTCAGATGAAGTGCTTTCATTCCGTCCTAGTGACATGTAACCCACACAGCTCCATGAAGCTGTCAACTGGACAGCACAGGGCTCCACGCACCATGGCCTGGGCCTTCTTGGCCCTGGTCCGGGACTTCTTGAACCTCCGCATCCCTTCTGCTGAGTCCTTTTCCTCTTCCTCTTCTGCAAAGGGGGGAGAAGGTGGGAGGAGACTCCGGTGGCCCATGCGGGCAGCTGGCAGTTTACCCCGCCACCCACAGCAGAGCTGCTGCAATGATGAGCGTATTATTCCAGGGGCACGAAAGTACAGGCTCTCCTCAAGGACAGCGAGGTGGGGGCCGACATCCCAACCAGGGCACCAGTCGGCAGGCCCGGGGGGAGGGGTGGAGCGCTTTGACGAGGACCACGGGCCGGTTACCTTGTGGCTGGGAGCAACGGGTGGGGAAGGCCTTCCTGAGGCGGCGGCAGAGTGCGTGCACCTCGGCCTGTCCCGTGAGGAACACCAGGATGCCGCCTGCAGAGAGAACCCAGCCCGTCACTTGGCAAACTTATCCTTGCCTGCTGAGAGGCTGGGAGAACCAGGAGCCAGGGAAACGGGTACTGGGTAGGAGGGAGCCAACTACCCTAGACCAGCAGAACGGTGAGGGTCACCTGACAGACTGCCACACAACAGACTCTGAGGGACAGGCCGTCCACGCTTGCCTCTTGCTTTGTTTTGTTTTTTGTTTTTTTGAGACAGGGTTTCTCTGTGTAACAGGCTGTCCTGGAACTTGTTTTATAGACCAGGCTGTCCTTGAACTCACAGAGATCCACCTGCCTCTGCCTCCAGAGGGCTGGGATGAAAGGCGCGCGCCACCACTGCCCAGCATGCTTGCCCTTTTTGAGAGGAAGCTTCCACACTCCCACTTCCGCCTTAGGGGTGTGTGTGTGTATGGGGGGAGCAGGGGGCCCTGGGGCTTGGGGACAGTCACCATGCCACTGTGGTTTGACCGTGCCCTGCGCTGTCGGAGGGATGGAAGGCAACCCCGAGTCCTCAGTGAGGGAGGGGCGTGCCAGTCCCATCAGGCCTCACCTGCAGGCAACATCCGGTGGATCTTGCAGACCTTCCGGAAGCACTCGTTACTGTAATCATCCAATGGGGTCCGCTTGTTGAAATGCACCGTCACAGGAAACTGCCTGGATTCGACCTGTGACAGGGCCACAAAGGTACAGGAATGCTGCGGCTCGGGGCCTCCTCTCCATGACCACCTCTGAACCGACCCCTAAGACTGCCGGTTCTCACAACATATCAAGGTCCGGTGGAAGCCAGCAGGGGCTTACCTCCATCTTACCTTGATGACTGGGGGAGGTGTGGTGAAGAGCCGCTGGTTCTGGGTGAAGTCCTCTACCCGAAGCGTGGCAGACATGATGAGCAGCTTAAGGGGCAGGTGCCTCTGTGGAAGACAGTTTGGTGACTCGGGCACCGCGCAGACTGTGCCCGTGGAATTATGGGCCGCTCGGCCCCGTGGTTACATATAACCAGCAACTGCATTCTCAGGTTGCCCCCAGGAGAACCAAACACAGTCAGTCACAGGGAGCCTGTCCACTGGGGTTCTGCAGGGGACAGGCCGGAGCCCTGAACATGAAGCCAGCTAAGGGGCCATGGTGGGATTCGACCCTCATGAGACAGTCAAATGAAGATGGGGTCAGCACTGGGGTGGACGGGGGAAGGGCTCAGCCGTGGGAGCCAGAGTTTCCTTCTCGAGGGACATAAAATATTCTAGAACTGGCTAGATGCAGAGACAGGTGCATGTCTCTGAGCTGGGAACTCCCATCCTGCTTATAGTCACTTTCACTCTCAATCCACATTTTGGGGAGACTGTCACTGGCCTTAGGCCTCCCTGGTACTCACTGCCTGCGTCTATCTACCTCTAGTTCACAGATTCTGAATTTGCCTCCTGCCTGCCACCCTGGCCGAAGGCTGACTCCAGGAGGGCAGGAATGGTAGATCACCCTTTCCTGGTCACTGTCCATCCCCAGTGCCTTTAATGTGGCTGGGTACATGGCACTCCCAGAACACGCACCTCTTCACTGAGCTGGTCTGTGGAAGGACAGAAACAGGGCCGCTCAACAGGTTCCCTTGAGATAGCATGTCCCCAAAGCCGGTCCCTCACACTCACTGTCTGAGCACAGGGCTGGAAAGAGGAGCAAGCTTGGGGAGGGAGGAGTAGCCCGAGGAGCAGAGGGCTCAATCCAGCAGCCCCATGAACCAACAGAGCCTGAAGCTCTGAGGGTACCCTTTAGCTGGCGCCAGCGCGGCCTTCCTAGCCTTAGCCTACTGCCTGAGCCTCTTGGATGTGAAGAGGTCACTCACCACACATGACATTGGATCAGGCCTGTGAGTCAGTAGAGGCAGCACAGAATAAAACAGCCTGGCACTGGCAATAGGCTGTGTCTTCTGGGACCCCTCCCAGCCCAAGCCCCTGACAAGGTGGCATTAGTCTGCCCTCCCTGTGTACTCTCCACAAACCTTGGTTCGGAGAGCCACAATGCGGGACAGGAGGCCGAGAAGGATGTCTGTGTAGACGCTCCGCTCATGGGCTTCATCGATGATCACAACCTTGTATTTCAGCAGCAGGAAGTCCTGAGGGATGGGAAAACTACATCAGAGTGCTACCAAACCCCCATAATCACGGGCACTGAACCACATAATCAAATCCCTGATTGTTTCCACTCCCTCAGAAACTCCACGGGAGAAGCAGCTGGGCATCCTGACTGCCCGCAGCCACTGTGCATGGCCAGAAACCCAGCTGCTACCTCACACTGCAAATTCTCTTTTTTCTCCTCATTTTTTAAAAAAGTTTCCCATTGTAGGGTGGGGTGGAGCACGCCTTTAATGCCAGCACTTGGGAGGCAGAGGCAGGTGGATCTCTGAGTTCAAGGCCAGCCTGGTCTACAGAGAGAGTTCCAGGACAGCCAGCTACACAGCAAAACCCTGTCTCAAAAAACAAATAAATTCCTGTCTTTCTCTACCTTACTTTCTTTTGACAGGTTAGCTATGCCAGCTTTGAACTATGTGACCAAGAATGACTTTGAACTTCTAATTCTCCTGCCTCTAGCTCCTAAGTTATCAGTTCTCAACCTGTGGGTCATGACCCCTTTGGGTGGAATGACCCTATCATAGGACTCACCTAAGACCATCTGAAAACACAGAGATATTTACATTACAGTTCATAACAGAAGCAAGTTTACAGTTGTGAAGTAGGAACTAACTAATGTTATGGTTAGGGGGTCACCACAACATGAGGAACTGTATTAAAGGGTCCCAGGGTTAGGAAGGCTGAAAACCGCTGTCTGAAGTGCTGGGATGACAGGTGTTTTTTTCCTGTGGTGCCAGGGCTGGAACTCAGGGCTTCGTGCTCGCTAGGCAAGCTCCCTACCAACTGAGCCCCATCCCCAGTCCCTCTAGCAAAAGTGAGTACGCAGAGGAACGTCACTCACTCGCCCCATGCCCTCTCTGCCCACGCTGGTCCTGTGCCCTCTGTTACTGACAACTTCTGCAACGATTCTATGAGGCACCGGCACACTGAGCAATAACGGAAGCTCTGAGAACGGACCCGCTCAACATCACCCATGGCAGGCACAGTGGTGATGACGCCAGGTGACATGATGATGAGGTACAGTGGTGATGATGCCAGGTGACACTCTGCTCCACCCCTGCGTGTCCTGGGTGAGACCGGAGAGGCGACCTACCTTCTGGATCTCTTTGAGCAGCACACCGTCCGTCATGAACTTGATCTTCGTGTCTTCTGTCACGTTCCCTTCGTAGCGGATCTGGTAGGAGACAACCCTGTGGGGAGAAGATTCACCTCAGGCTAGTGACGTCTCCAGAGCTGCAGGCGGCTTTGGCTACATGGTCCCTTCCAGGGAGACGGGAGGACCCTCCCCAGACATGCTCGTCCCAAGCTCTGATTTCTGGCGCCAAAGACGAGGGCAAGATTGGGTGATAGGCAGAGTCACGTCACCAGACACACTGCAGGTCCGGGACAGAGCGTGGCAGAGCTCAGTGGGAGCCAAGCGGGTCTTCACTCCCAGAGTCCACACTGACAAGATGGCAGAGGGCTGGGCACAGCTGGCAGCTGCGGACCAAGGCCCTACGGTATCTGGGTTCCTTGTTGTCTCTATTTGTGGACAGGTAACCATTTTACAAGAAGAAGTTAAAAGTTTAGGGCTGGGGGAGGAGCTTGGGGGCAGAGTGGCTGCCTAGAACACGTAGGCCCTAAATTCCATTCCCGGCACCACAGTGTAAAGAAATGGAAGTCGCTGGCAGAGGGTTTTTCAGTCAGAATTCTGCGTTTACGTGGCCTTATTCCACTGGCTCACGAGCTGGCGGCCCCTTGTTCACGGCCAGGGTCCTACAGATACACTGCCCTTTGACAAGTGCTGGGTGGCCAGCAGGTCCCTGCTCCACAGCCCCTGCCTCAGCAGGTTACGAGGGCTCTGCCGGACCATCCCTGGGGCGAGGCAAAAATGACTCCCACCTGCACCCTCCTTCCAGCAAGACTGCAAAGAGCCCCT